CCCTTATCCTTCATAAAATCAATAATGTCTTGTTTTTTTGTGCCTGTATTCAGAATTTTGTTTTTCTGTCGGGAATGGTATGGCGCATTGTCCATAATAATCACTGAATTTGGGGAAATGTTTGGTATTAACTGCTGCTCTATCCACTTTTCAAATAAGTCGGAGGTCATGTCCTCATGATAGTCGGCACATGATTCTTTGATATTTTTGGCAGATAACAGCAAGGCATTAGGTATAAATCCATTTTCACTGCCAGCATGGAGAATAATGATTCGTTTTCCACGGTTGCATGGTGCATTTAAAATGCACTTGTTGCTGTCGTCAACCCAGCCGTACTGCACAACATCTTGGGTATCATACCACGTTTCATCCAGGTAAATCAGATTTCTTTTCTGCTCTCTATAGATTTTAACTTTGTGCAAAAATTCTTGGCGCAATTCAACGATTCGAGACGACTCCATAATCACCATTCTTTTATCTAATTTTTTGTACTGAAAACCACACAGTTTTACAATACAGTGCAGTGAGTCTAAGCATTTGTAATTATAAAAATCTTCAGGATAATCTTTTAATTTATCCCGTATCATTTCCAACGTGGGCACCAAATTTTCTTTATAAAATTCGTATATTATACGACGAATATCTTCCTGAAAACCCACGTCTATTCTTTTTAATTTTTGCCCTATGCGCTTTCTGTGGAAGGAATGGTTGACTACATCTCCCCTTTTTATAACCCGATAAATGGTAGACCGACTGATTTTTGTCAGGATACAAATTCTGTTTAAAATTTGATTTTGCGAGGAATCTGGATTTTCGTTTTTCAGACAATCATACATATTTAGGATTACTCTTTGGGTATGTTCCTCTAAATCTTTATGAAAGAATTCTGCCTGCACAGGTTCATCAACCATCTCCACGTGGGTTGGAGCATTTTCCCAAGGTCTCCAAAGAGCCATATTTAGGACACACAAGAACCATCAACACAACAATTAAATCAACAAGTAAACTGAGTATTCAAAAGTCAAAAACACACAAACTAATAAAATCTATGAAAAAACACGGACAGACTAAAGAAAACACGTTTATTCACCGCTACACGGCACTGGCTAAACTGTTTCAATTTTCAGTAGCCACCTGCATTTGTTCAGAGCTCTGAAATACACGCTTTCTCATTGGCTATGTCCACGCATAGGCGTGCTTTACTCCACGTGGACCGGTGAAACTGCCTTTGATCTTATATATATATATATATATTTGCTGCGAAATTTGGCGATTTTTGCAGCAACAGAGCGTGTTAAATATAGATATATAAAACGCACCCGGTATTTCACAGTGTTTCAAGTGACTTCAGATAAAGTATACATGTACATTTTGGCGAAAAGTCTACGCACATAGTACGCCTTGTTGACGTACTGCATCCTTTTACGTACATACATAGGACGAAAGCTATGTGCGTCAAGTACGTATGTATACCTACCTAAGCCGTACAACCCCAGCCAACCTAAGGTAGCTGGTGGGACTGTTGTCTAGCCATAACACGATAAAGGCGCCACCTGCACGTGATGCTGAGGATCGTTTGTGTGAGCGCTGCGAGGTAGAAGAGACCTCGGGGCAACATCCATGTCGCTGTGAGGCTCTTATCTACTACAGGCAGTCTGTACTGGGCTGCATCAGTTTGGACCCCCAGGGCGTTAAGGAGCTTGGACTCAAGGCCATACTCAACTTCGCTAGAATGGCGAGGCTTAAGGTCTAAGAAATGTAGAGGTGTACAAGGGCCCGACTGAGAGGCCTATGCGCTGGTTCCTTAAGGAGGTCGGTATGCCTCTAGTTTCATGTTTCAATCATTCATTCATAACCCGTGCATTGTAAATATATATATAAACATTATTATAATTCGTTGGCGTGCATTTCTCATTTGTTGAGCTAAATTTGATATACTTATTTCAAAAACGGTTAGACATGGGTATAGGATAAAATTCATCAAATCCGAGTATAAAAACTAAACACAAAGAGGGTGTTCTTTTTAAGATAAGCAAGCTGGTATCTACTTCCGGTGGAACCAAAAATGCCTCCATATCGTATATATTTCAACCGAATTGCTCCCATCATACAAGCCCAACCTTTTATAACAGCCATACGCCAACTTTTTGCGTAATCAATATCTGCATTTCTACGTGGGAATAACGCAAAAGTGTTTGGAAAGGGTTGAGCTGAAAACAATACCGTTAGACTTCGCTGTTTTTGAGAATACCCGATTTGCCCAATAAATTAATTTTATAGGATCATATATTGCCCTCATATGCTTATGGAGCGTTTACTTACCTTTAGCACAGTCTAAGAGATTTTGAGCACTCAAAGGTTCTAGTGTGCCATTCTTCAGAAAGACTTGAGCTTCGATAGCTCCTACCTGCACATATCAAAGTGACGTTTGATTAACTTATGCTATGTTTATCCTAAGTTTTTCAGAAACAGTTTCGTTTGATCTGGTCATGACCTGTCAGTAAAATGCCCTCTGATGAAACCTCTCCGTGGGAGACGTAGTAATTTAGCGCAGTGCAGGGACTACCAGGCATCCATTCAGCTTTAATGGGTGACGGAGCCTTGTCAGGAAACAGTTCGTTCAGCAGGGGTACTACGTATATGAAAAGTTAGATTTTTTGAAACTACGTCATTTTTATTTTGAGATGATATAGGTTTTTTATGACATTATGTAGATTTTCCAACATGACGTCAATTTGGAACTAGCGGTTGTCCACTTCATGCTCACTTGTAGCAAGCACGGAATAAACTATCTGTACACTAGCCTATTTACTCATCAAGTTGACATTTTTTCGGTTTTTTGATGTACATTGGTCGGTGACTTGTCGGTGACTGTTTCTCGGATCAGGCTGTGTGAATTTCATCTATATAGTGTAGCAGAACAGATAAAATTTGTGACTGTCATACAAGCAGGATTTTTATGAGGTTTTTACGTAATAATCCTGCCGGCTTGTTGGACTAATACTAGGATATTATTTAACATGAGCATTATCAGTGCCTTTGAAATCGGGATAAAGGTCAAATAATCACTGCCTGTTAAACTCACAGTGGACTGAGAGTATGTGGCAATTTTAATAAAATTAGCATAAAACCCCATATTTTCTTCCTGATATTACTTATATAATACACCTAAGGGAATTAAGGGAGCAATAAAAAAATCCAAATTTTTCGGAGATTTTTGAGTTGCTGTATATCTAGACTTGATAAAATTATTTTGAAGCTTTAAGATTCTAGTTTTCAATCATTCTGGTCGAAAAAAATTTATTACAAAAGTTTTGCATTCTTAAATGTCCTCCACGGGCTTAAAACATTTTTTTTCTGTTAGGTCTACATATGGATCGGATAGCCCGTTTATTTAGCTGCAACACGAGATCTTTTTAAAATCTTGAAACGATAATTTGGCGCACAGATATCTAACTTTGAATGGTAAAAGATCGACCGCTGATATCTCGGTAACCAGTGATCGTACAGAGAATGTAAGGATATGAGTGAACACTGAAATTCATCTCAAAATTTGTTTAAGCTATGACCAACCGGTCCGGAGAAACCGGACAATGGATCGATTTGCCGTCATTCAGGGTTATTGGGGTATATTGAGGTATAAAAAAAACTCAAAACCATTAGCCTTCTCACTGGCAATTGCAAAAATGCGATAGATTAACCAAAACAAGGCAAAATCTAACATTTTTGACTATACTAACATCAATACTAAATAAAAAAAAAATCCTCAAAGATTGCAACCAAATGTTATTGGAGCCTAATTCCAGTTTTTGGAAATACCCTTACATTCTCTGTACGATCACTAATTATCGAGATGTCCGTGGTCGATAACAAATAGACCCTTTCTCATTCAAAATCGGATATCTCCGAGCCAAAAGATCGTTCCGAACCATATGATGTATTAACAGGAAAAATGCTTTCCAAGCCCGTGGACTAAAAAGAAGAAGTCAAATCTTTTGCAAAACATTCTTCTTGCGCTATATGTTAGAATTGCAGGAGAACCGTTGCACCTACAATTTTGCGGCTAACAAATATGAAAAGTAGAATATTGGAGATTCAGCATGTTGTTCTCAAAGTTTCGATGCCACCATTTTTAACTGGAATACACCTTCACCGAAAAATTTGGAATTTTAGCTCCCTCAATTTTTTGGGAGGAACTATTAAAGAATTTAAAATTCTTCCTCATTGGTCAGGTTATAACTGTTGCTACAAAATGACATTTAGGAAAACGATAACATCAAGGGATTTAGCTGAGCATACTAAGGCGAGATCTCCTCTCCAAAGATGAATAGCGAAACAGCGAAACATTATTTGGATAATACGGATGGGATTTGGACCGCCAACTAAAAAATGCTATAGAAACGCACGCTTTACGGTACGTACGCTTCAGCACTGATTTTCAATTTGTATAAATTTCATCCTACCCAAGGATCAACCTCTCATACGCGGTTTTATCTGAAAAGGAAATATTTTTATTATTTAATCGTTCCTACACCGTCCTTGTAGTGGTAGTCTAGTACTTTCAGCTAGTCCCGTCAATACCAGCAGCTGCCTGTTCAGAATTAAGATGTTTCTTCAACGACATAACTTCCACAATATTTATCCTAGGTTAAGATAAATGCAATACTTTTGGTATGCTGCTAACATCTATGTGGACCTGATACTCTAACTAGTCTGCCCAGGTGTACTTGAAGACACCACTTCTTAGTAGTCGTCTCAATCTTGTTCCACATTGAAAGGGCACTCGGTCAGTGATCTGCCTAATATGCAAATGGACTTTTGTTCTTTTTAGTTCAAATTCGCGATCCCTCAGTGTTCTGGGCCCTTCAGCCGGCTGATTAGTTAATACAATAGTAGGTAACTTTTGAACTGGTTGGTGCTGACATTTATGCTTTCAATTTATTCTAAGGCTTGCTAAGGGGGAATACCAAAAGAAATATAGAGCTTACCGCACTAAAGGCCTAACAACCTCCGCAAGACAGTTGATTCCGCACTGCAGTGACAGCGCCCTCTGCTCTCCAATCTACTTCTTTCGGTATATCTACATTGTCATCCAGTAATGCTAAGTTATCCCCGCGATTCGGAATTTGGTCTTTCTGCAAGCTCAGCATTTGACGAAATTCTTCCTGACTCAAGTCACCAAATTGATTAATTCTCATCTTGAAGGTTTCCTCACCATTGTTGAACCTCTGGTTATGTTCATCTATCATTCGGAGGTTGGACTTGAAGATATCGAAACGTCTCTTTTCCTCAAGGAGACTTCTGTAGGATTTACCATGTTGCGTCTAAAGTAAAAAGATGATTCATCAATACTATATTGTCATGAGTGCCACCCTATTATGAAGGTTGATCCCTAAGCTCCATCCCTTTAACAAAACTGCATTTAATTTATGATTTTCATTTTCTACTCAATTCCTTCTAACATAAAAGATGTTGTTTGGAAGGCACTCCTCTACCGCAAATATGAGTTGCTAGTTACTCGAACATTTCTTTTCTTGTGGATGGGCTTTTAATTTTGAAAATATTGTGAAATTGCTGAGGTGCCAGGACTCGCAAATGCGGTGGCTAATTTACCAACTCAAAGCCTGCTTAGTGCTATACAGGTACGTCTGGGAGCAGTATCCTGATGAGATAATACGCCACTCGTTAACTTGTCCAATGTTTGAAATGGATTCAATTTTCTTTGAGGTGCGCTACGTAAATGCACATAGCCGCATACAAAAAAGCATTGTGCTCGTTACGGACAGATGGTCGTCTGGTACATACAAATGTTTTTAAGGTCATTTGAAATAATTTTCTCATGAGCAATACCCCTCTTCAGCCCACAACTCAGTGCTTGGAGGAGGAAGATGTGGGAAGAACGTTATTTTCAATTTCTATATGAATGGGAGAGGCACTCGACCGAGCAGTCGTTTATATTTTGAGGGAAAAGAAAAAAAGGAAAGATAATTGCCGCTGTCATGAATTGAACTCGCGATTGAAGTGCCATCTATCACCAGACTCGACCACTGCGAAAGTGAAAACAGTAAGCTGTCTGTTGGAACCGTATGCCAGTTTGCATATATAGTTGCTACTGTCAGGAATTGAACTTGTCATCTTCAGTCTTCAAGGCATAATGTTCTACCACTGCGCCAACGTAAGCGGCTGGCTGGCTTGCAAAACCGATAATTATTTGTATATTTCGGAATGCATTACTGAGTCTTTGCGGATTTTTTTTATCGTTACCTATGCCACACATAAGTTCTGAGTAGGCACAATATATTTAAAAACTAGTAGGTATATTGTTAAGTTAGCACGGATTTTACGATAATATTGTCATTTTCTGTACTTGCTCATGAAATATAAATATTTAGACAAATAGTTTCAGCTCCGCATGCGGTTATTGTTGAGGTTTGATATTTACTTCAGACCAAGCTATGATTAAACAATAAATTTGCTAAAAAATACTGACCGAAAAAGGACAAACATGGCGTGATGAATTTTTAAGGTCCGATTGGGTTCCCTTGGCCCCCCTTGAGGGATCATCCTCGCAAATGAATTGCGATACAAGTCACATATTTTCTGAAAAACGCAGAAGGCGTAGATTGACGAGGGCTGAAAACGCAGACGATTTGTATATTCTAAAACTTGAGAAAATATTATGAACATGTAAAAAAAAGTAATGGTTTATACTTACTTTGAATTGTTGCCATTCTTCCTGATCAGAGAGGCAATAGATGGTAGGAATCAGTACGGTAAATATAACTATAAAAAGCTTCATGATTTTTTTCTAGTCCCTGGTCTGAACTAAATTCAAAATCTTTTCGAATAGACTTTTTATACTGAATGTATAGTATATACACTTAGAAATAAGTCACCGATATAAGTGGTTGATAAAATGATTGAAGACTTCCGGAAACGTAGCAATGATAAAATTTAAAATATTGTCTTAATCACAATAATTCAAAGATGTATTACTGTCTTCCTAAGACCCTGGAGCTTATTTATTATATCGACATGTGATTGATCGAGATGCATATTTCTAGGTTTTAAGGGTAAATATACATGGACGTCAATGGTGATCTATGACGTGTGTCTAATAGGTGCCAAGCAATTTTATACTACAATATGTAGGATGGCTCTTGTTGTGGACTTTGTGTGTGGTTTTGTATCCCTCTACATCTTCGTTTCGTCAGGTTACACTGCTATGTGGACATACGGGCATGTGCATCTGCTAGTTGAAGATGTGCATTTATTTCGAGCCTGACGAACCAGCAGAAATACGTATCGCTCGGGTTATCTATCCTATTTTCTGCTAGAATCCACTTTCCTTCTGTGTCCGGATTTTGACCATTATTTTCCTATTTTTTCTTATATGTTATAACTTGAGACGTGGTCATTGTCGTCTAATAACCAGTTAGATGAAAAAATAAAGCTTCCGCTTTTAGTTGGGTCTGATCTGTTGACAAGTCTTTATTTAGCATGTCTTGAAAAATCAAACATTCTCAAGTGATGTGGCAACATAGCACATACTTTACAAACCTTCTCTCCATCCATCGAAACTGACACTACCATCCTTCTATCATTTGTCAAATATTTCAGGCTACTTTTGATCCTGTGTGACTCCATCTTGTGCAGCATCAGGTGGTTGGTTCACGATGTAACATGTAATATGCTAATAATATTAACTTTCATTCCAAATATTTTTGATTCATTGTGATGTATTCCTGACATACAGCTGTGTGCGTTTTCTACCATTTTTAACGAATGTACCATGGATCCAGCTTTCACCAGGTTACTAAATGTTTCCCTCAGCTTAACCTTTAATAACATGTAACAACAATCTCACATACTATTGCAGGTAATTTAAAATCATTTTGGGCAATAGTTGTTATTTCTTCCTAATGCTATTGTAGCTGCTGAAGATGATGGCATAGCCCGTCGAGAGCTAGAGACTAATAAAGAATAAGGTATAAAGAGCCCTCATCGCTTTAATCTTGTCGAGGTACCCAACTAAAGGTGGAAGCTTTATTTTTGATGTAGCAGCTTTTGATACTCATTTTCCGTATATTGATCTGCTAATTGTTAAGTGTAAGGTAGAATTTAAAACTTTTTATATAGCCACTTTGTATGTGCCTGACAAAATAGGACTTGAGGAATTTGAGTCATTTTTTGAGTGTTTTGAGCAACTGGATTATTTAAACAACAGTAGCACAATCCTAGTGGGTGATTTTAATGTCCCGCATTTTGTTGTGAACAAACCTTCTGATGCTAAGACAGAAATTGTACTTAACTATATGGCCTTGTTTAATCTCGGACAGTATAACGACGTCCGTAATGGATTAAATCGGTTGCTTGACTTGGTCATATCTCACTACTCTTGTGTAGTAGCTCATGACACCACGCCTATGGTGCCTGAGGATGACCATCATCCGGCACTGTTAATTAGTATACTAAATTTATTTGCAAGGGAGGCTAAATTTCGCTACAATTTAACGAATAAGGTATACAATTTTAGAAAAGCCGATTTTCCTTCACTGTATAGAGAACTCCTATCAATAAATTGGACTTCGACTGTGAATTCTGATGATATAGATATCGCAGTAGATCGTTTTTATGAAAAATTGTACAGCACTTTTGATACTCATATACCTGTATACAAAAATTATTGTCACAAGTATCCACCTTGGTATAATTCCAATATTATTAAAAGTATTAAACAAAAAGCTAAATACAGGAAAATGTTTGCTAAGCTTGGACATCAGTCAGATCTTGAAGAATTTCAGAGACTGCGCCGTTCAATCAAATCTCAAATAAAGAGGGCGTATAATATCTACATGGAGAATGTTCAGAATAGTTTAGTTAGCAATCCAATGAAATTTTGGTCGTTCACGAACATGAAAAATAGTACATCACGAATTCCTGGCGAAATGAAGTATCAAAATAATACGTACTGTCAGCCTCAGTCGATTGTCAATGTATTTGCTAACTTTTTCAGCAGTGTTTACCACCAATCAGACTTAAACGTTGATATCGTTGAGCACGTTAACCATAACATCCATCTAATTTTAGCTCCTATCCAGGATAGCGAAGTTATTTTAGCCATTAGTCAGCTAAAGGATAAGATGACTTCGGGTCCTGATGGTATTCCTTCGTTCCTTGTAAAGGACTGTGCTAGAGCTTTTTCTCCTGTACTTACTCTCTTATTCAACATGTGCTTAAAATCTAATATATTCCCGAATATATGGAAGGTGTCCAAAGTTTGTCCGGTCTTCAAAAATAGAGGAAAATCAAATGTCGAGAATTATCGTCCAATTTCTCTTATATGCATTTTTGCGAAAGTCTTTGAAATAATCTTGTACAATCGCTTGTATCCTTCAATAAAAAATCAAATATCACAAAAACAGCACGGTTTTGTCAGCAACCGATCTACAGTCACCAATTTGGTTATTTTAACCCAATATATTTCTGAAGCTCTAGATGATAACTGCCAAGTTGATGTCATCTATACGGATTTTTCAAAGGCATTTGACAAAATTGATCATGGGGTTTTGTTGATGAAACTTGGTCACTTTGGTCTCTCACTTAGCGCTATAACATTCTTCAGGTCGTATTTGTCAGAGCGAAAACAATTTGTTGAATATAATGGCTTCAAATCTGAAACCTACTTAGCCCCATCTGGTGTTCCCCAGGGGTCCAACTTGGGGCCATTGTTATTTTTATTATTCATAAATGATCTTTGTGAAAGTATGAATGGTCAACAGTTATGCTTTGCAGATGATATGAAGATATATTCATCAATCAGTGACGTGCATGATTGCTTAGATTTACAGATGCAGTTAAGTAGTGTTAGGATTTGGTGCGATCTCAATAAATTACATCTAAATATAAGTAAGTGCAGAGTAGTTAGCTATAGCAGAAAGAAAAATGTTCGTGTATTCAACTATAATATCGATGGTGTGGTGCTGGAAAGAAGCGATATAGTCAAAGATTTGGGTATTATATATGACCATAAATTAACATTTACTACTCATATTTCGCGGAAAGTTTCGGAAGCCTTTAAGTCTTACGGTTTCATTGTCAGGAACTGTAAGCGATTTGATAACTTAAGGGCCTTAAAAGTCTTATATTTTACATATGTACGTACAAAACTAGAATATGCGAGTGTTGTATGGAATCCGTATTACCAGACTTATATAAATGATATTGAGAGGGTCCAAAGAAAATTTCTAAAGTTTCTATACTTCAAATCTGAAGGAGTTTACCCTGAGCAAGGCATTAGCAATATGGAACTATGTGAGCGTTTTGAAATTCATAGTTTAGAATGCAGAAGGAAAGTTTCATCTGCCATATTCCTTTTTAAACTGCTAAATAGCATTATTGACTCCCCAGTCATTTTGGCACAGATTAATTTCAATGTTCCTTCGTTCTCTTCACGCAACTATGTAACTTTTAAGCTATCAAGAGCTAGGACCAACTTGTTAGTCAAATCTCCTATATATGTTATGTGTAAACATCTAAATTGTATTAGCTGCCATTGCGATATATTTACTTGTTCGCTTAACTCAGTAGTTAGAATGGCTTATTTATATTTGAAATAACTTCTTTTTTTTAACACCACTGAATATTATTTAATTGTGCTTATGTAATTGTCCTATAAATGGGGTAACTGTTGGACAATAAACGCTATTATTATTATTATTATTATTATACAAACTGAGGACCATCTGTTTTTTACGTTTTCTTAATGACTAGGTGTTGGGGAACATGATACCTAGGGTATACGGACCTCACTTTGTCGCGGTCCTCAGTTTGCATGTAAATCATACATGGGGGCCCCTCACATTGCATGGTGGGCGTAAAAAAATATATATTATATATATATATTTCTATGTACCCATTAGACATATTTCACACATTATAGATTGGTACTTAATACTTAAAATCCTTGGGTGGGGACCAAAGCCACCCTCTGCGGGTGATATATGGCAACGTTCCCACTATTGTCGTTATGATAGGGGATAATATTATAGATCGCAACGTTAACCAATGTGAGGGGGACTGTTGGATCAATTGTATGGGACAGTTTGGCTAACTTGTGCCGAGCATAATCCTTTATGAACTGATGGCAGCGTTGTGTGGGATGTGTAGAGGCAACCTAGTTGACGCTATTTTGTTCTTAATGAGGTATATTATTCAACAGTACTAGTTGCAGTAGTAAACAAGATATATTAGGTAATTCAGAGTATGTGATGCAGACCTAAGATGCGCCACTAGAAAACTGTCTAGATTTTTGATATGCTGGTAATTAAATTAGATATTTTAATAAGACCATAAACTGCATTCAAATACAATGGTTATTTGTAATGTGCGTTAATTCGAGAAAACAATGCACACCTATATGAGTGACATCAGGCAGCAGCGGTGGCCGCCGTAGTAGACTCTTCGGACTCCTGATCAGTCGCCGTGCGCTGTGCGGGTTCGACTCCCGTCCCAGGAGAAATTTTTCTCTTGGCTATCTATGTTATGATTGTCCGTATGTGGTAGACAGTCTCTGACCGTCGAACGCGGAGGTACCACCCGGCGGAGCTCGTAGGCGGAGCCAGAATGTGTGCATGTTGCATGTACACGTGTTCCCTCGCCAGAGTCCGTGTGGCGTTCCCCCTTTCCCCTATATCCCCCTATAGCCCTACGGTACCCAATGGGTGTTTAGACCTTAGCCCTTCGTGGTAGCTGGAGTATAAAAAAAACATTCAGATGTAGTGCCAACAATAATAAATG